CAACCCTGTGAACTCCAAATGCGAAATGTTCCCGCAGTGATCAGTAACTAGTGGTGTATTCATAAATTGATGGACGGGGGGGGGGGGGCGAAATGTACCTTGGCTGCCGTAGGCATGCCAGTGCTAGGGGGGTCTGGGGGCATGCCCCCCAGAACATTTTGAAATATTTAAGCCATTTTCCTGCAATCTGAGGCATACTGTGGGCCATATTCTCATGTCTGATAACACTATCTCAACCCTAGACTCAACCCTACAACCCTTGTCTGATTAGCAGACAAACTACGCGACACCTTGCAGACAGCGCCTGTCTGACTAGGCTATTCCATTTACCGTAGACATGCCAGATTGCCAGATACAAAATGCCTGAAAAAAACAATGTGTCCAAGCGAACAATGCGAACAATCAGTGCAAATTTTGTACAGTGCAACTGAAATGAGGAATATAACCTTGCCGCTGCAGAATGCGGAAATTAAGCCTAGAAATCGTAATGATTCCGCAGAATGAGGAATGGTTGGCGACCCTGCATTAGACATAATTACAAACCAAAAGTTCATCATCTCATCGCCAAAAACTCCAAACATATCTGTAATTTTTTTTTTTTAGGAATTTGAATAAAATTTTAGCCCTTTTTTAGGAATTGCATACATTGTTAAAGTTTTTTTAGGAATTTTAGGGCGAGCTCAAAATTTTAGGAATTTTTAGGAATTTCAGGGCCGCTGGAAGTGGAAAGCCTGTGAGTTTTAGCAAATGAGATCATTTGAAATGGCCAAACTTTTTCGCGAGAGTTGTAGATTTTTAGCAGCGGATAAGCACATGATAGAAACACAAATAGAAGTACAATGGTAAACAGGGCGCGAAATTAGCACCGGGCCACCGGCATATGCCGGCAAATTATTTGGAGGGCCGGTAACATTGTCAAAACATCGGCCCATCCGAGCCGTTGGTTTCAGCCATGTTAGCGAGTACTTACATATTTATTTATACTTATATAGCCTACATTATTTATAGCAAATAGCCTAAATTACTGTTTTACATGAAGGATATCAGGCCATAACATTTTATAAATTTGAAATCGAGAATGCAAGCGTGAAACATGACATTGATTTTACAAACAAATTTGTGAAGGCTGGTAAATTATGGCGAGGGCTGGTAAAAATTACTGTTATCAGCCCTCTGTGCCAGTGCAAAAAAATTTCGTGCTCTGGTAATAAATCTGCACACGCATTATCTCCCCACCTCTGGAGGCTTCATGTTGAGCACTTTGGTGATTCTGCCCTGCATTATGAGAAAGTGAGGGTTGTTCACATTCAGCTGCACAGAACGAAACAAGTCCTGAACGCGGTTGTTGTTTGCATTGCTTCCGTTCACCAGATACTTGTTACGGCCACCAATGACAACCTAAAAAGCAACACATAAACAATCACAGCCGATGTTCAATGAAACCTCATTATTTTATTAAAGAATAAGCTTTTTTTTCAATCATTACAATCGGCTATATGAAATAAAACTTAGACGAATGGATTGATGGCATGCTAGGCAGATGGTTGGCAAGGGTAGCAATGGGTATAGAAGGTATTGAACACTTCAACAGTCAATGAGATTTAAAGGCACAAGGAAAAATTGCTGTATTTACTATAATTAACACATGCCAACTTGTTTACTTTGTTGGTCCAGTTCCAGAATATAAATAGAAATATGGAATGGTTATTTTAGTAGTATTGCCACATATATTTCCTACTACATGTACTAATACACCTACTATATACTGTATACATATTGTTGATTGCTTTACTTTGTCTTCCAACAACATTTCTATTCAAGGTCCTATTTAAAACTATTTCTATTAAAGTTTGGTTCAAACAATAGGTACAGTGTCAAGCAAACACAGCGTAAACTCCAATAACTAACACACACCTGCCGGGTTACTGTTATTTCAGCACAGAGTTCATATCCTACAGGGCTTTGGCTCCTGTCTGAATTGTCAAACGTAACAGTCACAGACGCCTTTGTTACACCCGACTGTCCACCTTTATACACCAACTCCTGTAAACTGCTGGCTCGCACCTATGGTGATTAGAAATCCAGTTAAGTTATCAACGTTGTAACACATAATATATAGTGCAGGGTTCGACACTAACGCTAGTCCGTTAGTCCGAGACTAGTAAACAAGAGCCGCAGAGCGTCTGGGCTCATCTGGGGTCTGTTGCTACGGTTATGAACGTACAATTTCAGTCGTGCGTAGTGACACGTACATTTCTTAGGCGCAGCTATGCAGATACGCAGTTGCGTACACATCATTGTTAGGACAGTAGACACGCTCACTATCTCCCCCCCATGCGATTTTGGTTTATTTTATTAAATGATACTTGCCTTTCACTTCGAATTTGTGTCATAGATTCACAGCTATCTATTTTTATCTATCTATAAAAGATTTCAACATATGAGCATGGATCTCCAAGTTTAATTAGAGGGGGCGGGGAGTGCTTCTCTCCCACCTCCCTCCCCACTGCGTCCCACTTCACTCCCCTTGCCTCTCACTTCCACCCCCTTACCTCCCATCTTCCTCCCCCTGCCTTCGACCTCCATCCCCCTGCCTCCCACCTCCCATCCCCTTGCACACCATCTTGCACGACCTAATTGTACCCCGTTTCCCGCTCGCATACACACCGTATCACCGTTTTCCTGTCCCCGTCTCAATTTACTACTCTCTCTCTCTCTTTATCTTAGACTTTCTCTCTCTCTCTTAATTATATAAAAAAATTTAAAACCCAGCGATGATGCCTTTTACTGCCCCCTCAATAATACTTTGTTCCTATGCCCCTGAGTGTAACAGTCATAGAAATCATAATATATAGTGTCTCTAATATTTCTATGGTAACAGCTTATGTTCGCATAACTAGTCTAGTAAATGGATACGCACGGCCATAGCTACATGATATATGTTAAGATTCAAGATGAAAAGTAAATATTATATATTATATGGTACTAGTTATTATTTATTCGTTTAACAAAGTTACATGAGAATAAAATCTAATTTAAACTAGGCCTATAGTTGCCGCGAGATGGCGCGTGCAAGTGTAATCAATAATCAAAGATGGCATCTGCCCTCATTCCTGAAATCCTACAGTAGGTACAGGCTAAAATCCAAGTAAGTATATTCAGGCAGGTGATAATTTGAGTGTGCTGTGAGTTAATCAGCTGTGAGCCAGTGTATTGTGTTATCGCCTATCGGCTTCTTGTGTATTGTGTACATGTATTGTGTGACGTCATTAAACTTGGGT